ATTTCCCGTTTGATGTGGTGGCCAACTGCAACGGCTCGATGCGTTACTTCACGGCGTATTGTTCGTAATGACGATGTCTACGTATTGACACCACTGTACGCCGTCGGCGTTGAGTAGGTCGACGTGCCGTACTATAGTCGCGATGGTATTTTGCAATTGGTTTGTCTTGCAGAAGCTGGAAAACGATTACATGGTCTAGTACGAGAACGCAAGTGTTCATCATGGATTTAGTCGACTAAGTCACTGTGCTAATCCATAAATGTGAAATATGGTAACGTGATCAAATCGAGCGCGGTGAAGGATTGATTAGCTCTCTTTCGTGTTTTGTGCGCCAACTTACCTGCTAGATCCTACGCAAGGACTCGCATAGCATGCTTGACGGCATCATCGCTGGGCTGCATTCCGTAGCGGTGGCCATAAATGGCAAAACGTTGGGACGAAATCTACGTTGGCATTCGGTGCCAGCTTTCGTCACGAGGCCACACATTGAGCACAAGAGACAAGCCAGCCTAGCCTTTTTCACCTTCTCAGTGGAAACATGAGACTCCATTTTGATACCGATACCCGCCTGCACTGCTTTCACGGACACGTTTCCCTGTAACCCGCTGTTCAAGCTGTTTCATCCGAGATGGTTTAGTAAGTGCGTCCACAATCTTTAACTCAAAGTCGCGTAGTATCTGGCTGACTTGTCCGTTCTTGATATACTTCATCAACGCAAAAAAGCGCTTACTATGCAAATGTCCATTCGCGATGTTAGGATTTCCTTTCGCTGGCTAGGATTTGTGCTCATCAATTGATTGACACGATTGACAGAATTCATGAATTGGTATATGCCGCTATTCAGGGAGCTCGGTACTTGCGGTAAGTGTCGTGTACAAGTTCTTCGTCGGATCCGAGACATAACCACGAGTTTGGATCGGCACGCTACACCCCTTTGGTGAAGCACCACCTGGAGATTATGTCCAATCTGCGTTCGGCGGGCGGCAGATGGAATTATCGGAAATGGACGACGGCGGCACCATCTCGTCGCTTCCTTGTCCCTTCCTCGTCCATTCCTCGTCCCTCAGATAACCGAGTTATCTGAAGTGGGTACATCCGGATAACAGATGTTAATTAGTACCGTACACTTTCTTTTATCCCCACTCGCCATTCGCTACAGTTTCTTCATTCGTGGATGCGGGGGAAACGCCGCTCGGATTTTCTTTGCAGTGGAGATGGCTCTGCTAGCAGCGAGCGAGCGCTCACGATGGGCCCCGCGCTACCCTTTCCACCAAGACCTGTGCCAGGACAAGCCACCACAAGCGCTCGAAATGTGGTCGTGCGCAGTGTCGTGCCTCGAGCTCTGTGAGAGCGCAGACTTGAGAGTGTCTAAACAAGCCGCCTTCGCTGGTGAGTTGATACAGGAAGTATGATTTTGTGCCGAGCGACTTTGTATACTAACCTGAACTACGAAGTGCGTGGACGCCTGTACACAGACGGACGGAATCGAACGGCCACTTGCCGATTGGACAAG